CTAAGAAAACAAAGATAATACACAAGTGTTATTAAAAGAAAGTGGGAGAGAAAACAAGGTATCAGCTGCATGCCTAACACATCCTGTCAGTATAGCTCACAAGTCAACACTAAAGACAGTATGCAGGAAGAAGCAGCTCTATCTTATTATTCATCTGCACTTTAATAAAAAGGTAATCATCCAAGCTCATGATTCTTTAGCTCCCCTTGAGAAAGAAAATGTCAAGTTCCATCCCAGGGTTTTTTTTCATTATTATTTATGGCATGGTTTAGTTGCATAAGACATAAAACAGGCCTACAGTGACCAGGGTATTTAGGCAAGGGAGAAGAAGTTATCATAAACATTGCTCAAGCTGATGCAGCAAAGTCACCTACCATTCATTTATCTGCAGACTCACACTTTGGCTTGAGTTACAAACAAGTCACTCAGCTCACCGGAGAGACTGAATTATACTTCTGGTGAACTTCACCCCTACAGGCACAGATATGAACAGCACAACACTGGCTCCAGCTAGCTCACCTTCTCAACTGTTTAGATTTATTTTTTTATGCAACACCACACACAAATACTACTCTAAGGTATTTTAAATACTACTTTTATCAGTCCTACAATTCTGACTTTTAGGGTAAAGGAGCACTTCTCCACACACTCCTAACTCTTCTTCCTGCCTGAATGGCCACTAAAAAGAAAATCCTTTATGATAAAAAAGTCTTCTCTAGAAACATATATTTAAGTGACCACAGTCCAAAATAGGCAAGCCAGGTACACCTGCCAGACAATCCTTAAGAGGACATGAACTCAGCTTTACTAAAATAAAAGAGGAAGCCAAATAGTGCAAAACACAGGTAAACCAAATTGTGAGGCCTTAGTGGCTTTAGCCATATATTTTAAACCCCACAGTTACTAAAGGCTGTACACAGAGGCTCCAAAAACATAAAGAACCATATCTGTTCCTGTGACTTTTTCCTCTTTCTGCTCATCTCAGAATCCATGAGACCATCTCTTCAATAGCTGTTCTATGCCCTGCCACTGTTTTTTTTCCTCCAAAACTAGTCTCCATTTTCCTTTGAAGCTCTTGACTCCAGTCACACCTGCAATACCAGAGGCAGGTACTACCATCATCTACTGAATCAGGTAGTGCTAGACAACATAAACACAATAATGGAATTATTTTATTATTTTATTTCCATAAAAATCAGCTTACAAAGCATCAGAGAAGTCAACAGCAGACTGTATTTCCCAATAGAGCCATTGCAACCACAGGTTATGTCAGGCAATTAAAGATGAAGAGTCCCCCTACAGAAAACGAAGGAACACGCCTCCAAGTGCTCCTATCTGCTCCCCTCATTCAAAGGGCCTAGTCAAGTTTTTACCCCACAAATCACATAGAAGGGCCTTTTCTGCTCTCTTTCCCATGCCAAGTTACTAACCTGTTCCCAGCAGGCTCTCCTCAGGGGCCAGCCTCGCTCCCCTCTTGCCCAGGGAGCGCACCCACCCAAGTAAACCCCAAGTTTGCCTACAAGTGACCAGGCAACTACTTCGGAGGCTCCTGCCCTCACACACCCCATCCCACCTCCTCAGCCGGGTTCCTGCCACAGCTTTTAAAGCCTCCCGGCAGCCCCTGCCTAACGAGGAGCTAACGAGCAAGGACTCACTGCTGCTCTCCTGGCCGGGCCTGAAGGGACAAACCTGCAATGACACACACCTGGGCGGAGAGCGGTGCCTGGCCAGGCCCCCCTGGGCACGCGAGCGGCCTCGCACGGCAACCGGTGCTTTTTGTTAGAGCCCAGAAACGCAGCAAAACACAAAAGTGGAGCAGATGGGTACCCAGGCTATTTATAACTCCTGAAGCCTAAGCAATATGTCCCTGAGGGACAACGCACTGGTGCTGGAGGTGCAGGGATTACCTCACAGACTCCAGCAATGTGCTGCGGGAACGAGGCGAAATGGCGGCTGGAAGCGCGCGCTTCCAAGGGGCAGCGCCGGAACCAGCGCCCCC